CCCAGCAGGCTGGGGAATTCTGGGAGTTGAAGTCCACACATTTTAAAGTTGTCCAGTTTGAGAAACACTAGTATATAACATTCTGAAAGATTCTACATATTCCTTTCTGCAACACCACTAAGCACCAGGACCTGGATAGCTCTTAAAGCGAATGCACTATATATAGTCATCTAAAGAGCAAAGGGCTAAAAAGTTCAATTTCTGGTAGTGGTTCTATGAACCCACAAGATAGCATCTGGCTATCTAAATCTGATGAGTCCCAAACAGGATGAAACTAGTCATGTAGTGCCTCCTGCTGGTCGATGACATTGTACCTACATGTGTGAATGGGGCACATGTGCATGAATAATTTGGGAGGCTTCCAAGATTTACATTAAGTCCCGAGAGGCAAACTCAGGGAACAACAATGACTTGGATATCTAGAAAGATTTGCTAGTAGAGTAATGTAACAGAATCTTAAAAGCCTCCCAAAGTAATTCTGCACAACTTAGCATAATTAAGGTGGAGACTCTGAGTACTTCCGAGTCTCCTTCTCGCACATACCCCCTTCCCAGACTCAAGAATGTCTTTTGGGAAGGCCTTGTTTCCTCCCTTAAATGTCTTGCTGTATCCTCTGTGTTCCCAAGGTCTGTTTGGCATTCTGACCCACCAGTTATAAATGTCTGCAGGGGACCCTGAAGGCAGCATACCCCAGCAAAAAGCCTTGGGTAATCTGAAAATAGAGGACCCCTGCACAGTGCTCAGTTGAGATCTTTCAGTACAGGATCATATGATCTCTCTACCTTATAGCCTGGCTCCTGCATTTTGCACTAACTGCATTTTCCTAATAATCAGTAATCAGCTAAGAATGGTTAAGGTCTGTATACCCAGGGTTAAGAATGCCTGGGTTACAGACAAACTATAGTTAAACACGGAGCCTATTATAGCAACATTTGAATTAAATACACAATGATTCCAGTTAAATACACAATGGTTTGAGTTCATTAGACAATACTACTTATACAGTATGATACAATAATACTGTTCCAGCTTACATGCAAATTCGACTTAAGGACAGACCTTGGGAACGGAACTCGGTTTTAAATTGGGGACTACCTGATTATGTACACATAACCAGCTGTGCACATGGGACAAGACAGGAAGCTCCTTGCTTCCCATAAACCTCTGCAGGGGGCAGCAAGTAATGAACTGTGTGTGGCAACACCACAAGGCAAACCCTGTGAGTTGTGTTTGACGTCAGGACGCAAGTACAAATGGAGTGATCATCACCCAACGTCATTGTTTTTGCAACATGCGTATGTATACCTGCATATAGACTACAGTCGTGAGTTTCAGCGCCCTGCTGGCACAGGTAGCTTGTACTCGTTCAACATTACTTTCTTGGAACTGGAAGAGCCAAGCGACAGCAGGATCCGGGGAGCAAAAAATGCAGGGTCCACCCACAATGGTCCTCTTCAACCAGCTCCCTTAAAATGGAATATGCATGATACAATTTAGGAAGAACGCATACAGATTGTCTTCTCACTCCATCCTCTTTATGGTGCCCCCAGTTAGATTATAATTCTTCAGGAAGGGCCCGCTTGAGACCTCCGCGCAATCGCGTTTCGTTTTGCTTTTCAAACTTTTGATGCATGCCCGCCTTTAAGGCGCCTCACCAAGGCTAGCCCCAACCGACTCCCCGCGGGCGGGAGAAAGGTGGTGGGCGGAGCTAAGGTCAGGCGGCAAGGTTGCAGTGGGCGGGGCCTGCAACTTGGCGTTCCTGCCGCTTGTGTTGTTAGTAGGCGGGGATCGGGGAGAGCCAATTATGTCGAGCCCTAAGGGGAGGACGGGTGTCTCTCCGTCGGCAAACCGAACCCTGTCTTCAGAGGGTCTGCAGGTTTATCAATCGGGGCTCGGTCTGATGCGGAGGAGAGCTGGGGGGCGGCTTCCGAGAAGCCCCGAGCGGACGGAGGCTCCCGCCGCCCGCCCTCTTGCCTCCCCGGCACCCTCGCCCGAGATGGTCCGTTCCAAAGCGCGCGCTCCGCTCCCACGGCTCGGCGGCTGCCTGGGCGGTGGGGGGCAGCGGCCAGGGAGACCCGGAGCCTTGCAGAACGCTCGCGCCGTCGCGCCTAGAAGCCGAGGCGGCCGCGTCGCCGGGCAGGACCATGGCGAAGGAGGAGGACGAGGGGGAGCTGAAGGTTCCTGAGGAGATGTTCAAGGATGTCAAGTTCTTCGTGGTGGGAGACATCGATCCCAAGGTACCTGCGCGGACGCTCCGCGCGGAGGGAGCCGCACTCCTGCCTTGGCGTTCCTGGGGTCGCTCTTCTCCTTTCCTCTCCTCCTCCTCTCCCCCCCCCCGAGCCCCCTGCCGCGCTGGGGCCCACAGGTGGGGGGGGGGGAGGGCGCGTGCGCGACCGCCGCTGCGAGGCCTTTCCGGAGGGCGGGGCGGGGGAGCGTTCTAGCCCCTCGCGGGGGGGCAGGGAGACCCCCGGTGACGGCCGTTAGCGGTCCGTAACGCCCGGCGTTGGCGCGCGGACTGACTCCTCTTACTCCTCCCCCTCCCGGCAGTCCCGCGCTTGCTGCGCTGGGAGCCGGAAAGGCCTCTGTCGCGGCCTGGACTGAGGGGGAAGAGCAGGGCGAGGGGCCGCTCTTGCCTTCTGCAGGGGACCGGCCGGGCTTCCTTTCCCGGTGGCGGCGGCGCTTCTGGTCCCTGCGCGGGAGCGGCCCCGACTAGGCCTCTCGCGTTTCCTTTCTCTCCTTGCTGCTTCCTCCTCTCCTCTCCTCCCCGGACAGGACAGGCCTCTTCCAGCGGGCTGCTTTAAGACAAACCTCCGGAGATGCGGGAGGAAAGGACTCCTTCCCCCCAGGGGGAGAGAAGGGAATCTCCGATTCTTCATGTGCTTGGGTGGAAACAGATCCTACATATTAAAGAAGGAGAAAAAAAAAATAGCGCTGAACCTTCTCTCCTTGAGTTGATAGTTTTCTGAACGCAGGGAGGTTTCCCCCAGTCGGTGGGAGAGCCGTTAGACGCATCAGGCCATCCAACCTGACAGGACAAACGCCCACCCTTGATCTGGAAGATGGCATGAAGCAGCCCTAGCTGTAGCAGTTGGCAGTGGCTGGCTGATCCTGACTGGGCCCAGAAGCAAAATGCAGCTGGGCCTGGTTAGTATTTGGATGGGAGGCGGCTAGGCGATTGCAGGCTGTAGGCTAGATTGGGAAGCTGAAAACCATCCCAGAAGAAAGCCTTGAGAAGGCACTTCTGTAGCACCGCCAAGAAAGTGGTGTCATCAAGATGACAAGATGAGCTTGATTTTAAGGCTGTTTTTCCCGGGTAACTCATTCAACTCCCAAGGCATCCAAAAACCTTATTCATTACATCTCTGGGTGATAAAGACACTTCCTGTTAAATCCTGTAAACTTACGTAGTATTTTGCTGTCATTTATATCCCTTACCTCTGTTCTGCATTTGCCGCCAAAAGTATTCGCCTTTTTCATTGTTAATTATTTAGTCCCATTCCTTAAAAACATTTCACTTAATTGTTTGTTTCTGGGATCTTAGGAAGTTTCTTGCCCTTTTTTTTTCAAAACCCTGTATGGCTCTTCCCCCATCGTCAGTCTCTGCTGCTATCTTGTGACATTCTTTCATTCAGCTCCAGCATCCTCAACATATTTCAAATAATTGCCTTTTGTTGCTGGTCTGTATGACTGGAAATATCACAGATATCTCAATAATGCTATCTCTTTTAAATGCTTCTTCAAATCCCATTCCCAAAGCTTTTTTCACACCTGTAATATTCCACAATCAAAAGTGAATAGATGGAATTATTATGATCAGTGTACCCTACTTCTTTCCATTTTTCTTTCCTTCCCCTGTGGTCTTGCATCAGTATCTGTTTTAAAAGCTCTCACAGCAGAGACTTTTCTTCGTAAAGTGCTATGTATAAGGGTGATGTTATAATAAATACAAATGTATTTCAAACAGTTTATTATTGGAAATCTTCTCCCACAATCCAGGATTTGTTAAAGAGCACAAAGAGAAATTACAGCCATTCTGTTGCATGTATGGCTTACATTGCTTATTGCTGCACCGTTGTTTGGTAGGATGAATTTCATGGGAAAAAAGAGAAGCTCATACTATGTGCCTAAAAATGCTTCTTTTCAGTTTGTTTGTAATAACAGGCATGGACTACGTGCATTACAAATTGGTTTTGCTTCTATATTCTGCAACTTTTTTTTTATACCATTCCAATGTTATGAATGTGGATCTGATGCACAAAATAATTGCAATTTAATGTTGAAGTAAATTTTGTTCAGCAAACCCCTTTTCCTCTCCCCTGATGTGACTGTGAGGAAATGAAAAGTTTCTGTTTTCAGTTAACTCTACTTTGGCATTATATCAAGATTGGAAACTGATCAGTTTTCATTATGATTTGTAATGGGTTTGTAAATGATGGCTTGAAGTTGGCTTGTTCATAAAAACTATAATTCAACATAGCAATAGTTTAGGCTGGGTTCCTATATTACAAAGGACAACCTTCCTCCCTTTCATTACTCATGAAAAGATCAGAAACAGCATCATTTTTGAAGTAAACATAATTTTTTGTGATGTCCAGACTTGGAAAAGTGAGGTCTGGACGAAACCAAGGTCAAAAACCATAGTTTCTTGAACTTTGAAATCACAAGGAATTATGGGTAGTTCACACTAAACCTTTTCATATAAATGAAATAAAATAAAATGAGATTGGGAACATGTGAAACTTAGAATTGTTTTTATAATAAAGCACTTTTCTCTGCAAGAACTGAACTAAATTAAGAATTCTCTGGCTTTTCATTTTATTTAAAGATCTCTGCCCTTTCAACATGTAAAATGAAGAGTTCAGAAGCAATTTACTTGATGAAATACAAAATAAGTTTAGTGCAACAAAGAATTATGCTCTTTTCCATCAGTTTCAAGAGATGACCAAATTGGTTTATACCATCCTATGTGGCATAAGCAGAAGGAACTGGTTGTTAGAGAACTAGAGACATTTATAGGGTATCTGGTATACCAAATCAGATACTTAATTGTTTTAATTGAATATATGTGGAATGCAAGCATCTTTTATGCAATACTTATTAGTTGGGGTTAGGTAAAACTTTCTCATTGTGTTACATTTCACTTTTTATTATCTTACATTTTATTTATTGCTATCTTGGCCAACAAGATGTTTATTGTGCTATGAGAGCAAGAGCTGGGTTTGTCGAAGGCTTCAGGTTGATAGCCCTGTTTTAATGCCATGAGTTTTGTTCATACAGTATGCTTAAATGGACTGGGGGAGACTTAGCAAGTCAGCATTAATTAGGATTGGGGAGTTAATGTTATCCCAAAGAGCCCTAGAGTTCTTTGAGGGCTAAACTTCTCTGATCAGTCATATCATGAACTGATGAGAAAATTTCTTTTATTCAGTTTCTGGCAATAAGACTAAGTCTTAGAATGGCCCTCAAAAATGGGGCAGTTTCAAGAATTCCCATTTATTTCCTTTTTTACTTCCCTTCCACATGGTGACATGGGGTGGAATAGGGCCGGTAGGATAGACAGGTGGCTTCCTTCCCCCTCCCTCCCCCAACAAAAAATCTTTTAAAAAGCCAAGCAAAGACACAGGAAGTGATAGCCTTTCAGCCATCTCTGCGGCAACTGAGGAAGCAGCTCATTGGACCAGCCATGAGCGCAACCTAGATATCTTCTGTCCACTTTGAGGTTTGGCTTTATTCAGATTAGTGCCTTCTCTGGGAAAGGGGATAATATTAGCATGAACATATGTCTGGGAAAAAGTAATTTCCTGTATATCAGCGTTTTTCTGAAACTGAAAAGAATTACATTTCATTTTCATGTTTTAGGTTATTCAGCTTCTGAAAGATGGGAAGGCAAAGGAAGTTTCCTATAATGCTCTAGCTTCACACATCATTTCAGAAGATGGGGATAATCCAGAAGTTGGCGAATCTCGTGAAGTGTTTGATCTTCCAGTAGTAAAAGTAAATATTTAGAGCATGATAACCATTTGTTTTTTAGTACAGTTAACATTTTAAAACCAAACTTAGTGTTTCTAGCTTTGCATGCAAAGAAATGCTTTGTGTGTGGGTTCGGAAGGAAGAAAAGGCCTGTTTCCATCACTTTGGGCACTGTGTTGTGGGCAGTGTGAGCACACTGATAAACAACAAATTAACACCTCAGCTCAATTCCCTGACACCAAAAAAACTAGGTTATTGGAATCAGGATTGACAGTCCCAGTTATCTGGCTGGCTAGGGAAGGTATAAATGTTTGATGAAACTATAAAACAAAATAAATGTCCTTACTGTTGCCTTGTACAGGTTGTCATCTTTTTCAAGAAATACTTGGAATCCTATCAATACAATCAGTTTTTATTACAATCATAGACCAGCATAATTTGGAATACTAATATGAAGGCAAAAGCCACAGATTATAAATTTTACATACATAGAGGTAAAATTTCAGTTCCTGTTCAGTATTTTGCACCTACAGATAAGCCTGGGAGAAACTGTCTGAAAACACATAGAGCTTTTGCCAGTTACATAGACAGTACTGACATAGGTGGGCTTTGTGGTTGACTTGGATAAGGTAGCTTCCTTCATAAGTCGAATGAATGAATGAATGAATGATAACCAGTTGAGTGCGTGTGTGTATATTAATAAATAGAAGACAATCCCCAGATATAAAAGTATTCATAGACATTTATTGGATGATATTTTTAAAACCTGTTCTAGCCTTCCTGGGTGACTTTGTCAGTTCAATGTGGAGCTCTTCTGCCGTATCCTTTTCAATGAAAGTGTTAACAAAATTATATAATATTTATTTGATGCTTTGAATATCACTTGCTTTTTAGATGAACAAGCAGTTGTTTCAGAGAATTAACTAAAGGAAAATCCTCCTACGTTGAAGATTCTTGCAAGGTCCAGTTGATTAATTGGAATCATTATTTTTTCTCTCTTTGTTAGTCTTTGAATAATTTGAGAGAATGCAAATTGAAATTGCATTGTCCTATTAGTCTGATCTACAGTAAGTAAAATGTATATATGTGAAACATATAAACTGTATTGGATTGTTGATCTTTACTTATTAATTTTTATAAGACTCATCTTGTTATGATATATTTTCTTTTCAGAATTAGATAATTAGTTTCCCTAATCTTGTAGAGGTTATAAATGAGGAATTCACTAATTCCTAATTTATAATCTCAAGTATGTGTGCCTCTAATAATTATTCCTTAATTCTGACGTTTTCCAGACTTCTTACCTTCTTTCTATTATGTTTATATTTCCTTCTAGTATTATTAGTATTAACTTTCTTATGTTTATAGTGAAAAAGGAACATATCTGCTTCTCTCTTTTTTTGGGAAAAATCAAATGTTTTAATAAATATGTTATTTATTGACCAGGATTTCTGTGTCAGTAGGGACAGCATCTGTCCAACCTTGTCTGGATTTGGAAAGGAAAATTTTTGAGCCTAGCTGGTACTTAGATAGGAGATTTACAGGAAATACTAAGGCTATAGGCTAGACAAACCATTTTGATAATACTGCCAAGAGAACTGCAACTTGACTTGAAAGACACTTTTTAGGATGCCTAATACAGATACTGTACTATTGAAATTGTACTTCATTCACCTTTTAATTTCGTACGCTTGCATTTATTCTGCTTTCAGTTACCATTTCTTTCTCCTTTTCTTTATAAAACCATAATCAATGGTTGAGAAAAATCTAATGTTTGCTGCATAGTTTAGTACCATTCTCCCTATATAGATGTAGGCATTATTTTACATCCTTCAAATTAGATTTTACATATTTAAATACAAGTTTATAGATAATAAAAATATGTTTCTTAGAATTGTAATTTTGTGAGATAGATTAAACCTGATATTTAGAATCATTGGAAACAAAGGCTGCAAAACATACATAAGATATGATGGGTTCTGTGGGGTACACTTCCAAGAAACATACTGTTAGTTTATAAAACAAAGTATTCACTCAAATATATCTGATGACTTTATGGCAGAAGAAGTAATGTAATCTCAGATCTGCCAAGTTCATTTTCTCTTTTGACTGCTTAATGTTAGATTAGTTTTGCTACTAATATTTCTTTCTTTTTAGAAGAATTGGCATCCACAAAATTATGCATAGTTCCTTGTGAAGTTTTGGGGAAATTTGTTGTTTGTTTATCATAATAAGTTTTACAATTTATTTATGTTATCTCCTTGACTTAGCTTTGTCAGAGTAAATGGTTTCTCCCCAGAATCCTGTCAGATCTTTTTTGGAGTTGCTGCTTGTCTATCTCAGGTAAAATATTTTACCTAATGGCTAAATGATATGATAGATAATTCAAAATATTTTCTACTAAAGGATTTTATCTTTTTTGGTAGGTTTCCTCTGAAGACCGGAGTATGCTGTGGGCTTTGATTACATTTTATGGTGGGGATTGCCGTTTGAGCCTCAATAAAAAATGTACTCATTTGATTGTGCCTGAACCCAAAGGGGTAAGAGTTTTAATGCATTTCAATGTTGTTTTAGCATATGGAATAAAGGTCAACATAGCTTGTGTCTTGGCGAGCCTCTTACCATTTTAAGAGGAATCAGCAATGTATAAATAGACTAATATGGAAGGTGTTTCATACTTTTGATGAAATCAAAAGAAATTTGGCATATTTTGTAAACAATAGAGATGCTCCTAAGCAAAATGGCAGAATGGTGTTTTGGGGGCTGATAAAATATTTTGATGAATGATAGTGAATTTCAGCTTTTGTTATTTTCATGTAATTGATGTTATAGCTAATGTAGGTGTGGAAAGGGAGAGATGAATGAAGTGAAAACAGTAGGTGTAGGACTGGAACACCTATTTTCCTAGGAAGCGCTCCATGCTACATCTTCCAAATGCCACAGATTTTACCATTTAATTAATTAATTAACTGCTACCCAGTTCCATCCAAATTATATCTCCTATTCCAAAGGTGTAAACTTTAGACAATTTATAAAGTAAAAGCATCTGCATAAATCAAGGCGTTCCCCAGACCATAACTCCCACTCCAAATTAAAACTAACATAAAAAAAACCCAGTTAGTCACCCAGTAATAATCAGGTTAGCAGTTGATTGCCCACTGAAAAACAAGCATTTTCAGCACCCCTTGGAATGTCAGGAATGAGAAGGCTGAGCACAATTTTGAGGCCAGGCCTGGGCTGAGAAGGTCTCCTTTCTGACCCATGTTCCTCTCACCTTTTGAGAAGATGAGTTTCTAAACACGTCCTCTCTAGATGATCTCATAGGATGGACAGAGAAGGGGATCCCTGATATAGCCTGATGCTGTGCCTTGTAGGGCTTGGTAGGTAATAACCAGCATTACGAATTCAGCTGAGATATCTAGGAGCAATCAGTGCAACAACTGCAGGATAAGTGTTCTGCTTCAGAAACAAGTTTTGCTTGTCAGCAGTCTGAAATTGGAATCTTTTTGAATTCATTCAGTGCCCATTTTTAATATTTACATTTCAAATTTTTGTTCTTCCCAGGAAAAATATGAATGTGCCTGTAAACGAGAGAACATTAAAATTGTGACGCCTGACTGGGTTCTAGATTCTATATCTGATAAAACCAAAAAAGATGAGGTTTCCTATCATCCTCGCTTAATAATATATGAGGAAGAAGAGGAAGAAGAAGAGGAGGAGGAGGAAGAAAATGAAGAACAGGATTCTCAGAATGAAGGGAGTACTGATGAAAAGTTATCAAGTCCACCATCTTCTCAAGAAGGATCACCTTTGGGCAATCGAACTTTTTCTCCAAAGTCTGTTGATGCTGACAAAACCAAAGGAGAACTGATGTTTGATGATTCATCAGATTCCTCTCCTGAAAAGCATGAAAGAAATTTGAACTGGACAACAGCTGAAGTTCCACAGACTGCTGCAACAAAACACCGATTGCCTTCAGGCAAGGATTCTGGACTGATTAATTTGTGTGCGAATGTCCCACCTGTCCCAGGCAATATTTTGTCCTCTGAAATAAGAAGTAATATAATAGCTTCAGTACAAACTCCCCAAAGTTCTGGACATCCTGAAGTGATGGCAACATGGAGTCCTGCAGTCCGGACGCTAAGAAATATTACCAATAATGCTGATATTCAGCAGGTTAATAGACCATCAAATGTAGCACATGTAAGTACTTTTAAAGTATAAGTTGATAAACTGTTGCTTGAAAATGAACACGTTCTGTCACTTGAATTTTATATCCGTAGTAGTTGTGACCTCCCTGACGTGATTGCTGCAACAATTACATGCATGTAAAATTGCAAACACAGGTCACTTGTCATATTGAAGGTTTTGTTGTTATTTTTATGTTCTGTTTTGTTCTGTTTGGAACTTTAGACCACCCTTGAGCCTCCTGGATGTTTTGAATGCATAAGCATCCTCACTTTTCTGTGAACTTCAGAAATAAAGGAAATGTTTTGAAGAGGGAGATTAATTGTTTTGTTGTTTAAAATGTAGGTCGATTTATGAAAGTCATGTGGAATATAGAAACATAATTTAAGATTGTGTTTTTCTTTTTTCCCCAGTCCTTGGATTTTTACATGGTAGTTCTAGCAAGAATTGCACTTGCATACCTATATTTTGGTGAAATATCTGAAATATTTCTAAAGTCTGACTTAACTGGAAGCAATTATCCGCAACCTAGTTAGGGTACCTCTTTAAGAGCCGTCAGAACTTCAGGTAGTGCTAAATGCAACTAACTAAGGCATGGTATCAAGAGAGTATTACTACAGCAATATTGCAGACAGCACTGGTGCCAATTATTTTCCAGATTAAATTCCAAATGTTGCTCTTCTAATGTTTAAAGCCCTAAGGAAACACTTGTTTCAGTATACATGTCTGTCTATTTACTAAGATCTTCAGGCAATTCCTCTTGACAGTAATACTACTTGCAAAGGCCTGTTTGTCAAGCTTATGGGAGAGTCGTACTTTCTTCAGAGCTATAATGTCCTCCATACTGTTGGCTTTTGGAAAAGGTGCTACGACGTTTTGCTTTATTTTTGCCTTTAACATACTTTAAATATTTTTAATGCAGTCTTACTGTTGGTTTTTATGTTCCTGTTGTATTATTTGATTCATTCTGAATAGTCTTGGTAGCTTTTTACCAGAAGGGGTGTTAGGAAAAAGAATAGTATCATAACCATAATAAAGTATCTGTATTGTTTTCTAGATCTTGCAGTCACTTTCAGCACCTACAAAAACTTTGGAGCAACAGGTAAACCATAGCCAACAGGGACATTCAAACACAGTATTGCTTAGCCAGGTTAAACTGACTCCAGAAGCACGGTTAGCACAGCCACCGCCGCCGCAGCATCACCAATCTCAGCAACCACAGCAACAGCATCACCATCTCCTGCATCTTCAACCCCAGCAACTCCTGCAGTTGCAGCAACAGTCCCAGCCACCACAGCCTCAGATTCCCCAGCAGCCTTTCTCACAGCAGCCTCATCAGTTTGCCCAACAGCAGCAAGTTCATCAGCACCAGTTTCCTCAGCAGCAGCTACCGTTTCCTTCCCAGCCAATGCATTCCCAGCAGCAAATGCATCGTCCGCCACAACCGTTGCCATTTCAGCAGCAGCATGCCTTGCAACAGCAGTTGCATCAACTGCAGCAGCAACAGCTACAGCAACAGCAATTGCACCTGCAGCAGCAAAACCTTCAGTTACAGCAGCATCAGCAGCAACAGCTTCAGCAGCAACAATTTCAGCAGCAGCACTTGCAACGTATGCAGCAGCAGCAGCAACAAATGCAAAATCAGACATCGCAACACTTGACTCCAACATCGCAGACGCTGCACCATCAGATTCCAGTTCAGGCACCACAGAATCCCCAACAGCAACAACTGCAGCAGCATCAACTGTTTGGACATGACCCATCTGTAGAAGGTTGGTTGGTTGGTTAGTTAGTTAGTTAGTTATGTATATATGTATCCTGCCTTTTGTACTGGAGCTCATGGTGGCATACATAATGCTCCCTCTGTTTTTCCCCACAAGAACAACCCTGTGAGGTAGATTAGTCATTAATCTATTTTGTTTTTGCACGTTGAGATAAAATTGTTTAAAATAAGAAAAATGATTTTGGCTGTTAAATTATTGGTTAGTAGTAAATCATCAAGAGTAAGCTAGATATAAATATATTAACATGTACAAGCAACTGGGAGCAAGACAAACCCTTTCCCCGTCAGTCGGCTTCTGAAAGAGGGAGGGCCATGTTAGTTAGGTAAGCAACACAAGCAAAAGGCAGGACAGATCCCAGTATGAGACATTTCTGGAGCCTTGATGTCCTTGCTAAAAAGGCTGTGCTCTAAGCCATTATAGATGAGGTACCAGAGAAATCAAGAATAGCTACCACCTACGGAAGTTCTTGCACATAGATAAAAATGTTTAGAAGAATGTTGTTTTTAAGGTTTTTGGACCTCTGTTCAGTTCTTTAAATGCCATCAAATACTGTATATTTTGGAATGGGCTAGAAATGCATTTCTGAGCTATCTAATTTCAAACTAGACCACTAGAAGAAAACTAAAATATTCAATTGCATGCAATTGCCATGATTTGTTTAAACGTGGATTGATTAATATTCCATAATTGGCTTCATGCACTATAAAGACCACTAGAAGAAAACTAAAATATTCAATTGCATGCAATTGCCATGATTTGTTTAAACGTGGATTGATTAATATTCCATAATTGGCTTCATGCACTATAAATGATAGTTAGATAGCATCACTGAAGCAATGAGCATGAAACTGAGCAAACTCAGGGAGGCAGTGAAGGACAGGAAGGCCTGGCGCAATATGGTTCATGGGGTCACGAAGAGTCGGACACGACTTAACGACTAAACAACAACATCCTCTCGGTTTACACACTATACAGGTAATCCTCGCTTAATGACTATTTGTTCAGCAACCGTTCAAAATTATGACAGCGCTGAACGAAGGGACTTACGACCTGTGCCCAAAATTATGGCTGTTGCAGCACCCCCATAGTCACATGATCAAAATTTGGTCATTTGGCAGCCTGCCCGCACTTACGACTGCAGGGGCACTTTAACTTCCCACACCTGCCTGTCCCCCCCCCCCCCCTTTCTCCCCTTTTGGCTCCCTGCTGCCCTGTGCTCCATCACCCCAGCTGAACTTTGCTGCCGTCGTCTTCTTCTTGCTGCTCCTGCTGTTGATGAGGTGTCTTGGCCTAGCTGCTAGGCTCTGCGGGTCAGGCTTCGCGCTTGAAGAAGTGGGAAAGAGCTGAAAGCAGCCTTTTTCCTTCCTCCTGCACAGCAGAAAGCCCTCTTTGCAGATCCTGGGAGAGGAGGGGCTTGCTTTGCACTGTGAAGAAGGGGGAAAAAATGGCTAACAGCACATTAAAAGGGTTACCGAGGGCAAACCCAGTAAAGACTCAAAAATCACAACATCTCACTGGCCATCTAACTTCCTGACACCCATGCCCTGGAGCATTAAAAAGTATGATTTTTTTATTCTAGATCAATTCTGTTTTGCTTAACTCTTGAATGAAAATGTAGAGTATAATAATACCACAGCAGAAAAAGGCACAAGACAATACAGTTAGTGACCTAGGCAGTACAACTATCAAGCCTCATACCTGATAAACCTCAACAGTTAGCCTAAACAGACACAGAAATCTGGGGGGGGGGGTTTCAGATATAGTCAGAAAATTCAAACTTAAGAATGCTCCCAAACGTGTAGAGAATACATATCCTAAGCTCGGGAAACCGGTCCAAATCAACAAAGAATCTTTGGTTTTTTAAATGTCCTCAGAAAGCTAAACATAGTAGTAGAAGTCTTTGCATATACAGCCTCAACAGAATTAGCAACATTTGTGAAGCACAATAATGTGCATACATACACGCATGCATATTTTACTTTTACTTGCAAAGCAATGTAAAAGTAAAACACAATACATAACGCATGCTGTCCACTACCCACAAGAATTCTAACTTCAGTCCACCCATTCACATAGATAGTAACTTTCTCATAGCAGTAACAGGCTGGCAGACATGCAGCTGCAGGCAGTCTGCCTTTGCCTGGCTATGTGCTTAACTTCTATTTTCTTCCCAACGATCCATTCCCACATTACCTGCTTCATTCTCAGCTAATACCTATAGGGATGTCTGGTTTCTGCTGCTGCCTGCTAAGCTAGAAGACATTTTGGGGGGGAAAAACACAATGTGCAAACCACAAAACAGCAGCCTAATTGCTGTTGGAATAGTTGGAACCTCGGGACAATATTGGTCAAAATATCGAGCAAAACAGTGTAATTTGTTCTGATCTTGAAACAAAACTCTCAAGATTGAACTTTCTTTCAATCTTGGAATATGTGAAATGCTTTTCACGCCCCTATCACCTCCAGGATGGCCCCTCGCTCTGGAGAACTGCTGTATTTGAAGGACAGGCATCTGTGGTCTCAGTGTTGATCAGCTTGATTGGTTTGGGAGGGGCCAGTTTCTAAGCTTGCATTGCATCGGTGATTGCATTAATTATAATTTAAGAGAAAAAGTGTTTTACATTAATTTCAACTGCATTATTTTTTTCAGTTCCTGAAGAATATTTCTTACTGGGCTGTGTCTTTGCAATTGCTGATTACCCTGAACAGATGTCTGATAAACAACTGCTGGCAACTTGGAAAAGGGTAAATGTCAGTTCCATTTGTGAATGTTTTTCAAATCAGATTTCTAAGTAGATTTTTAATGAAAAATCAGATGAACAACCTATTTTTAAAAATAAGCTTACAGTAGTTTCTTTATCACAAATGAATTCTAATAGAACTGTGTTTAGCAGTATCCAAAACATGCCTGTTTTCAGCAAAAGATGCAGTGTTTCATCTTACTGTTTTGGTTTTTTCCCCTTGACTGGATAGCTTTAAACATTTCTATCTTTCTTAATTATGTTGGATTAACATGTCTTTTAAGTTTTCTTAATTTTTATTGTAGGTAATCCAGACACACGGTGGTACAGTTGATCCGACACTTACAAGCCGATGTACACATCTTCTCTGTGAAAGTCAGCTTAGTAATATGTATGCACAGGTATGACAGAATATCATATATCATTTCTAGCTAAGGTAAAAGGTCTGATATCTCTTTCTAGTTTTTTAAAATATAGTTTATTTGGTTTTCTACTACCAGTAGCAGAGAATCTACCCAGCTAATATGTAACTCTCCAGATCATGAGATCCTGAAGTTAGAAGCTGAATATTCTGCCTTTTTCTTCCAAAAGGTTTAACTAGGAAGTTGATCAGGTTCATTGGCTCAAAAGCAAAACAAACAAAATTACACTAAACCCTAAGTCAATTCTAGGGTTTTTTTCTGCTGGTCGTGTTAGTATTTGATGTCTGCCAATGTTAGGAAAAAATTGTTGGCGTGAATTAATGGCCAGTCATGTGTGATTACTGACTTGTCCCCACCTTTGAAATGCATAGCATAGAAAACTTAGGAGGGAGGTTATATTTAATTAGATCTAACCTTGGGAAAATATGTAATATCTCTATGGAATGAGAATTATGGGAAAGCTTTTCCTGCCCTCATACTGTTTTTCTCTTCCCACTGAGATCCTCTGAAACAAAAGAGTGGGCCCAGTAGCTGGGAGAAAGAAGGAAAAAAGCAGAGGAAAAGTCTTCCCTTTTTCCTTCTATGAAAAATAGTACCGAAAAAATCCTGTCTACCTTCCTTCATGGGAGCTTTTGCAGAAGGAAACCATGATTTCTTTTCTTTTTGTTTGTTCAGGCACTCAGTGGGAGAAAGTCTGTGCTGCCTATCCAAGGAAAGAAATATTTATGGGTGGATTTGTGGGATCTTGCTTCTGAGATAGTGTTGGAGACTACTTTAAACAGTATTTAATTGTACACACAAAAAGGTCCTATCTTTTCTCTTTTTGGACAGTTTGCACATCATTAAAAAAAAATAAAGATCTTCATGAATATCCCGTTGCGATCCATGGGAATCCCTTGCCAGCAAATGTGCAGAGTGAAGACTTAAGTATTCTAAAAATAAGGGATAAAAACAAAACCCAGTTAACAAAAAACAAATATTGGGTTTCTCTCTCTTTTTCTCTGTATTATCTCACAATGCAAAATAATAATAATAGAAGAAGTGTTTTTGAAATGAAATACTGAAAACACTAGATGATGAAGGCAGTTGCCTTTTCCCAGGTCAATTTACCTCACTGGGTTATTGTTATGGAGGAAAGTAAATAAATAAATGCCATACAACATTTGGCATTGTATGGCACAGCATAAACATAAACTTCCAGACCCCATTTTTTATTTGAAAGTTGTAACTGAAAACTTAATATACCAAGGATGCATCTTCTTCATATTTTAAAAATATTTTTATGTAGCACTCATAAAATGTGGTAAATTAAAACCTACGGTAACAATGTTCTGCTGCATGTGTGGGTGTTGTAGGCTTTGAAAGAAAGGAAAAGATGTATCACTGCCCACTGGCTGAATTCGGTGCTAAAAAAGAAGAAAATGATACCACCCCATCGAGCTCTTCATTTTCCAGTTGCATTTCCACCTGGAGGAAAACCATGTTCTCAGCATGTAAGGAAGCTTAATCTGGGTTTTTATTTTGGAATTGCTGCTGTTATTATTTTACTCTAATGTGTATTTTAAATCAAAGAGTACAAAAATGAGTAAATCTATAGTGGTCCATTTTTTAAAAAGTTACGTAATTAGACAATACAATTTTGCAGGTTTGCCTCCTGCATATCAGCCCTCCCACTACTATTCCCAGCCTTAAAGCCTTGAAAAAATGTTCCGCCCCAAAAGTCAGAAATCTGAATGGAAAATGGCAATTCAGGAGAATTTGAGAACAGTCGGGTGGTTAAGAGAGGGAATGGGACTGCTATTAATATTTTCAGGGGAAATACTAAAATTTGGCCATTTTCAGTGGCAAAGAAAGTTCAGCATCAAGACTGTTTCAGCAAGACTCTGGAAACAATAGGCAGCCCTCTGATGGTTTCAAAGAGAAAGAGAATCAGAAAGTCATTACTACCATGGACCCAAGTAATAACTACATGTAGTCCTCACTTAACAATGGGACCGGGAACTCCATTGCTAAGCAATCTGGTCATAAAGCGCGATGTCATGCTTACGCCGACAGTTGTGGCAGTCCCAGTTGCCGTCATTAGGCAAATCCTACCCAGTTGCAACATCCCGCAGATATGGAATTACCATTTGTGACCTTGTGCCAGCTTTCCCATTGACTTTGCTTGTTGGAAACTGGCAGTGAAGGCTGCAAGTGGCAATCACATGACTGCAATCCATTGTAATTGCGAGCTGGTTGCCAAGCACCCGGATCATGATCATGTGACCACGGATACTGCGACGGCCACAACTACAAAGACCCATTGTAAGTCCTCATTCAGTGCCGTTGTAACTTTGAACTGTTGCTGAACGAATGGTTGTTCAACAAGGAATACCTGTACTTTGTTATATTTCAGCCGGAAACAAACTGCCAGCCAGTGAAGGAGTTTTAGCATAGATGTAATGTGGTCTCTTTGACTTCCAAACCAATCCAGTTGTTGTATTTTGTCCTAGTTGAACTTTCTGGACTGATTGCAAAGGCATGTTGCAGTAATTAAGCCTGGAACTCGTGCACCACAGTTACTTTCTTCCGGGAAGGTTTACAGTTAGTGAATCAGATAAAGCTATTGAAAGGCACTCTTGGCTGGTGCCTCAGTCTGGGAACCCAGAAGGAGATTTCAAATCCAGAAACACTTAAATTCACCCTCAAATTCACTCCTTCCTGGGGAGTGTGACCCCACCCTCCTTGTCTTTGGGTAGTGACTTAGTAGTTCCTCCTGCCACCACCTGTTTTCCAGTGGTGTCTGGCCTGACATCACCCCCCTAAACCCAGTGCTTGAGAGAGAGAGGGCTCTTGGCCCCTGTATTTTGACTTACTGGCAGTAAAAAGGAAAAAGGTGGTTGCTGTTGCAGAAAAATACTTGCTTCTTTCTCTCCCCTGATTCTTCTGCAGGATAGAATGCAACTGTCTAGCCCAGTAGCGTAGAAGTTTTAGCTTTTCCTCCCATCTTTTGGAGATAACTCATTAAGACATTTGGACATGCTTCTTCTTAAAGAAGAAGAATGTCTTGTATTCATGCAGTCTTGTATTCTTGCCCATGTACTAGAACTTGAATCTATGCTGGCAACTGCTATTGCATCTTATTTTGAGAAATACTGAGTTAGTTAAAGGTTAATGTTACTTCATAGAAAAAAATAACACATGTATTTAGAATTATTTCTTCTTCTTCTTTTTTTTTTGGTCCAGATAATCTCTGTAACAGGTTTTGTGGATAGTGACAGAGACGATCTCAAGTTAATGGCCTATCTAGCAGGAGCAAAATACACAGGCTATCTTTGTCGCAGTAACACAGTTCTTATCTGTAAAGAGTAAGTGCTGTTATGGAATAATAATGTAGATTACACTGATGGGTCTGTTTTTGTTATGTTATTCTAACAACCCTTTTTCAGAATAAAAGCATTTAGTTTTCCTTGCTATGTTATAGCATATTAAAAGTGTTGGAATATATTCTCCTTCATTTACATTGTTAAGCCATACTGGCTATTTTTATTCTATAAAAAAATAGAAAACTAGCATTCAAACCCTCAAAATTGTATGTTTCAATGGGTTTTTAAGTTACCCAAATCAAAATAAATGTTTAGGTTCAAAAGACATTTTTCATTTTTATAAAAAAATAGTATAACTAATATGCAATTGCTATTGAAGGTGAAGTTTGAATGAATTGTGACATTGACAGTCTTCCCTAGCCTGGCGCTTTCTGAAAGCTGTGTGGGTTGGGAATTTTGGGAGTGCAGTCCCAGTACATTTGGAGAACATCATGCTGGGAAAGGCTGTTCTGACTTACTGACTGTCATTGGCTTTTTTTCCTATTTCAAGGCCCACTGGCTTAAAGTACGAGAAGGCCAAAGAGTGGAGGATACCTTGTGTTAACGCACAGTGGCTCTGTGATATATTACTTGGAAATTTTGAAGCTTTGCGGCAAATGCAGCACAATCGATATACAGTATTCAATCTTCAAGAACCACTTGCTCCTAATCAGCATCTAGTTCCAAACCTTCTTGGTAAGAAGGCTTGCAAAATATAACAACCATTGCATTTCAGTGCAAAATAATTTGCTGCTGGTGTTGGATGTAACATTACATCCACTGTGTGGGCTCTTTTTATCAACTAAGCATGTTGATAAAAATAAGGTTCTTAAAGTTTAATGACACTTTTTCCTAATGTGCATAAAATAGTTTAAAAAAAGAATTAAACAATTGATTATCTTTAGTTTAAATGTTTTAAAGTGTATATATCTTTCTCTTTAAAACAGGCACTAAAATAATATTTAATTACTGGTATTATAATTGTGTTAACCCTACTGTTAATCTGTAAACTGAGTAAATGAAACCATTTAAATAATTTTCCAGATTCTAGGCTAGCAATTAACTGTCTAGCAATACTTTATTTCATAGGCATTTCATTTTTCAGTACTTTTTGCAGAAAAGTTGCTCAGCCTAAACAAGGGGAAGCTGAAGAATCAGTTGAAAGGGAAGATTCAATAAAATGTCCTTTAATATGAATTATTCCTTAAAACGGCATCATCTAGCCCTATAGACTATCAATGAGAAACCTGACTTAAAGCAGAGTTTTTAAATGTAGCCTTTTTTCTTGTGATGTAATTAATTGCTTTATTAACTCAATCTATTTGGTTTCCTCCCTAATAAATAATAATAGGGTTCCACTGTGGAAGTTTAGTGAAAAGGGAGAAATGGTAGGAAGAACTACATAAAGCAAAATTATATATATATATATATCAGCTTAACCTATGGGAATTGCATCATGTTTGAATGTTCTATGAGCTTTTAAATTGTGTGTCCTAATTGGCCAAAGAGAGTGGATGTATCAAACCGGCATTGCTCCAAGTACTGGAGCATCACAAAAACCATGCCTTTGTGTAAGAGTTTCTTGCTGTTTCTATCATTAATTCCAGATGCTTGGAGAGTGCCTTTAAAGGTGTCACCTGAACTTCAAATGGTAAGTGGTGTTGCTATTAACATCTTTAAGTACTGGGGAGCAGAAAAAGAATGTATATGAAAAAGTGAAGAGACGCTAGCTTATAAAATATTTCTTTTGTTTAAAATATTTTTATATGGCTCTTCAGTTAAAATTTCACAGATGCTGCACCTGATTATTACTTTCCTTCCTTGGAAATCAGATGCAATGTCTGTGTAAGTGCTTCCCCAGGTGACAGGGAATTTCCAACTTGGTTATGATCATGGTAATTGGGACAAAAGACTGGCAATAAGAACGGGCCTGTGCAAAGTGCCAGGCTCAAGTGCTTGCTGCTTCCTTCCATATGGTAGAAAGATGAATAAACCTGAATTTAGTTTCACTTGATCAGAATACTGTTCATTATATGCAGAACTCTAACAAGTTGTTAAATCAGGGTGGGCAGTCATTTCCAGTTCCTGGTCTCCATTGTATGCTCTAGTGCAGTAATGTTGCACCGCCACCCCCATGCTGAAATCTATGATTCTGTTTACATGGAACTAAATTCTAGTTTATTCCTCCTCCTGTACAATGAGGAAGAGGGAGCAGATCCAGGGACGGTTTCCTGAGGAGGGGACTGCCAGTGTCAATTCCTTCTGAAGTGAGGTGTTGACCACCTTCCAGGTCCAGTCCATTACACCCCCCCATGTATCCAGCTTGCAAGTGGCTAGGGACAGCCCAAGGAATATCCTGGCCACTTCATCAGACTCCACAGGCCAGAAGATGTCCCAGATAACGTGGCAAGGTGCTATCCCAGTGGCCACATCAGACTCACCCATGAAGAGTAAAGATATTAGCAACTCCGAGCAACTTCATCAGCAAAGTACTGTGCAAACTGGTTGCAACAGCCAAGTGGGAAATCTAACTCCCAAGCGTTCGTCACCCTAAACAAGGCCAAGAGCTGATAGCCCACCAACATAATTTGGGAGAAGTAATTACATTTCACATTGCCTCTTACTGCTATGGTATAGGTTTGAACTTGAGCTTGTATTTGTGCTTGGTCAGAATCCCTTTTTGCCTTCCTGCTCCATTCCTCCAGGCATTGCTTCTGCTTCATCTCCCAGAGCTTCTCAGTAAACTAGGAAGTTATTTGGGATCTTCCAGCATAGAGTGACCACTTGGGAGCAATCACATCAAGTGCCCATGTCATCTGCTCTTTTCAGTTGTTTTGAGCTCTGCACTTCGCATAGACATACTCCTGCTTGTACACATAATACTAAATCCTGAACTTGCAGCATATATGAAGTGGGCCACTGAGTTCTTCATGTATACATTTGAACATCAATGACATGCCTTGGGGGTTGAATTCTCTACTGTGAATATTTTAGGTGCTTATGGTGAACTGTGCTAGATAGCATATATGAAATAAAACAATATTTTGTTTGGAAAGCATCACAAAACTTCTAAGAACATAATGCATGTTCTTTTTTCTGCTTTAGCATTATGACTAAAATATAGTTATTTTCTTGGGAATAAGGACCATTGAATTTTATGAGTTGGTAGGAACAGAATTATGCTGTATGTGTCTTTGATATAAGATATTTTTTTATATACAGTATATTTAAAGATACTGGTACAAAACTATAAATACTGCTTAAGGAAACCAAATTTATACCTTATCTAATTGCAGAATGTGAGATTACCACTTAAACCAAAGCAGAATGAATCAGTAATTCAACCTTCGACCAAGAGGCCAAGGTAAGAAAATGACCATCCTTAAGAAATTCAGAATTTCCTTGGAAATGGCATGTTGTTACTAAAATGAAATTATTTTTAGATTTTAAACAACACTACATTTTTGAGCTGAAGATTATATGGAGAGAAGCTTTAGCCATGGAGACAAATCAAGGGACAAACATTTGGGAGTGGGAGACATGTCAAAGGAATATGAAATATCACAGCAAAAGCAGTCATGCCTCTAAAATGCTGAGGAAAGCAGATTCTAAACCCATTCCAATCATTCTTCTAAGGATTTAGTTTTGTGTATCCATTGTTGGAATCTTTAAATCAAAGTTGAAGCAGCCTGGGCCAGCTACATCCAAATATAACTAAACTTCTTTTATTTTATAATCTACTAAATGGAAAAAATCTCTCATTTAGACTTTTAGCGTTGCAGAGAGTTAAATACTATTACCCTAATTTTAAATTTAGAAAGTAATTATTAAGTTACTCGATTTAGAAAATAAAAATAACATCAATATTATTTTATATTTATAGAATTGAAGACCTGCCAACACCTACAAAAAAACTGACACCAGAATTGACACCAGTGGTTCTTTTTACAGGATTTGAGCCTACTCAAGTGCATCAGTACATCAAGGTGAATTCCTTCTTGAATTAAAAGATTTAATTGTAACTTTAGGGTTGATGTTATGGTATGCTTGTTGCCTCCACTAACAAATTGAATGTGTGGATCATACCATGTAACAAAAGCATTATTTTATAACACTTGAGCATTGCTCTTCAAAGGTATTTGTTCACATATTGGACTGCCCATTGACTGTATAATCATTCATTCTCTAATGTGTCGCTCTGTTGTGGCTGAAGATTCTAAATCTATATTTTTTACTTTTCCTTCAATTTTCAGAAACTCTACATTCTTGGCGGTGAAGTAGCAGAGTCTGCTCAGAAATGTACTCATTTGATAGCTAGTAAAGTAACCCGTACTGTAAAATTCCTGACCGCAATTTCAGTTGTAAAACATATTGTAACCCCAGAATGGTTGGAAGAATGTTTCAAGTGCCAGAAATTTATAGGTAAGTAAATGGCTGTGTTGAACAAAGTAAGAGTTGCATTGTGGAGCCCTTCTTTAAAATGTAACAGTGGAACTTGCATTGGAACTGGTGTCCTTCTGTTTATAAGTAAATGAACTTCACTGAAACAATTAGATAAAAACTGTTAGAATGTTTAATCCTCTAAAATACTGATTTTTTTAATAAGCTTGACTAGAATAGAATAAACTGCTGTGTCATTTTGAAACTGCCCTCCCCTTTTTTTTTACATACAGGTAGTCCTCGGCTTATGTCCATTTATTCAGTGATTGTTCAAAGTTACAGCGACACTGAAAAAAATAGACATATGACCAGTCCTCGAAGTTCTGGGCATAGCAGCACCCCCGTGGTCACATAATTGCAATCCAGGCACTTGGTGCCTGGCTCACAATTATGACATCACAGTGAGCTGTGGTCATTTGTTTGCCATTTGTGACCTTCCCTGCTGGCTTCCACAGGCAAAGTCAATGGGGAAACTGGCAGGGAAGGTCATAAGTCACTCCAGTAAGTCAGTCCGGCTGCTTTTTCTCCTGAAGAGTCTGCTGTGGAGTACAAGATCCCACGGCACCCCCCACCCCCCCGTGGCACTTCTGCGCTCCTTGCCTGGGACTCCTTCTTCTTCTCACTTAACAACCTGCACAGTCCTGGGGTTACGACGGCAACCGGGATTGCCATCACTAAGTGATGAAATCAGGTGATGTTGCCCTTAACGACTATATCGCTTAGCAATGACAATCCCAGTCTCAGTTGTCATTGTAACCCGAAGGCTTCCCGTATTGCAGTTTTATGAGCATGCAATTCTTTAAAGGCATTAATGCAGCTTTGTTATTTAGTTAATCTTATTGGTGATGTTTCCGCTCTGTAAATTTAGTGAATATCAATGAAGTATTTATATTTTTGGCTGCTGGTGGTAAATTTTAAGCATCTCAAACTTTCTCAGAGCAGTTCTTAACAATGAATGAATGTTTACATCATCTTGTGTTATGAAAAGTTAAAGTTATATTCCCCCCCCCCTTTTAGAAGAACAAAGCTACATACTCCGAGATGCAGAAGCTGAAGTCCTTTTCTGTTTCAGTTTGGAAGAATCTCTAAAGAGAGCACAAGTAGCACCACTCTTTAAGGTATAATTGTATTAGTTTTAAATAATGAGAGCCACAGGCTAAATATTTAAATATATTGTCATGTATCAGAAGGTAATATCAGCAAGCTGGTTTGCAAAAGCAACAGAACATCTTTAAGAGAGCATTCTAAGGGAGAAATCCATGCCACTCAAGCAGTCTAAAAAAAGTTAACTTCTCAGAAGCCACAGGAAGCTAACTTGGGGAAAATTTGGAGCTAGGAAACCACATTGGAAGGGAAATGGAATCTGATATCTTGAACAGGAGTACTCTACATTGTAACAGATCCCACTTGCTTTAAAGTGGATATACTTACATATATGCATATAAGCACAAATAACTAATAAACCAAAATTAGTTGCAGGAATTCATGTTCTTGGTTTCCAAAAATACCGTGGATTAGAAGTGCACGAGTGCTTTTATTTGCAGTCAGTTTGGTGAGTTAATTCGTGGCAGCCTCCAGAGATAGAGCAGGAGTTATGACTAGTTTGCTGAATTAGACATTAGCACCAACTATGGTTGGCTTTGACTCCAGAATTACTTCTGAATCCTGTTTACCAGCCAGTCTTTTATCAGTTCAGATCATAGTTTGACATACTTGACATGCCCATTTTCCTTAATAAGTAATAAAGTGGAACTAATGACTTCTCTATGAAAACAAAGAATTCCTTAGGTATCTGTGCAGATAGTTTCAAAAAAGTATGTGAATTATAGTTTTATACATTATGTATGGTAGTTTTATATATTGACTCTTGGTGGCAGTGTGAATTCTTTGTTTAAAGCTTATGATGGAGAATGAACTGAAAACAAGACATACTAGAAGATTGCTTCTATAGGCCATTAGAAACCTCTAATATGATCCAATATCTATAAAATAGTCTATCTGCATTTTGATTTGTGAATCACTCCACTTGCCTTTAAAGGAACAATTGTTACCTTTGATAACACGTTAAGAAGTTCTAACCAGTAGGATTGTGCACCAGTCTGGATTTTTAGGAGAAAAGGTGATGCAGAGTCTGTTTGCATATCACCTATGGTCACCTCTGTAAATTAAACACATCTTTTCCCTGGCATATTGAAGGAGTTGTATGGCTGACAACTCTAGCTTCCAGGCAGATTAACTTTGCCAGGGCTCTTTTCTTTTCCTGTTACAAATGCTTTTAGGAGGCATGGTAATGTAACAAGAAAAACAGAAAGGAAAAAGAAATCTCTTTGGGCCAGTCACTCACTCTCTGCCCCGTTTCCCTCACAGGGTTGTTTTAGGGGAAGGTGATCCCCTTATAAGCCATCATAAATTTCTAGAGGTAAGGTGGAATATAAATCAAACTGTTTCAAATAAATAAACTAGTTCTTTACGTACTATCCCTTGGGTTTACACCTATCTGTCTGAAATGCTCCTTCTCTTTGGGTAGCACATTGAGCACAAATTTCATTTAGAGTCTTCATAAAATAGTGAACAGGGGAGTGATTTTTAAAAAGTTTCCTAAACTTTAAAGGGAACATTTAACCTATTTGTCTGGAAATTGGTAGTCTACAGATTGCATTTTTTTTCTGCCAGGCAAAAATAAAGTTACAGATGTTGCCTCAGAGAACACCCTCCATAGACGTACTTTATGTGTGTCTGTGTGTGCACGCACACACATAGTTTTAAAAACAAAGGTAAAAACTAATATAAACTAATATAGAGTAAGGAATAAAAAAAATTAAGAGAGCTAAAATGCAAGAAAGAAAGAAAAAGTAGAAGAAAAATAGAAAAGAAAGAAAAAAGATACAAAGAATTGGCTTCTAAATCTTCTTTATAGCAGTTATAAGTACAATTATAAATTTACCTCTTTCTCTAAAGTTACAT